AGTGGCAACCAATCAGCGAATCCCAACTATCCTACTGAGCGAGATTTTGAAACAGTAAACTTCGTTCATAGTCATTGCATATTCACTGTCATTCTGTTATCGCCAAATACCACTGTTCACAAAAGAAATCGGGCGTAAAAGGCTTTGTTAAGCCTTTCTAATTCACAAAATGTTTGCTCGTAAAAAGTATTTGGAAAATGCGGATCCTCGCGGCAGAGATTTGGGAACAAAAAAGGTAAATGATCGGTGTCAGCTAGTAGTAGTTAGGCCTACTTGGTAGTCTTAAAAAAAAAAAAAAATGGTCGACTGACCCTGCTGGCCTTCTACCTTTTACTTTTAGTTTAGTTTTCCCCTATGTGACGAAACGAATGTAAAATATTCTAGTTTCCTAATGATGTGATTTACAAAACAAAACATGATTTTAAAAAATAAATATAGGCGCTTTAGTTATCAGCCTCTTGTTGGTATTTATAGACTATAGACAATCCACTTACTTTAATACTACAGTACAGGTAGTGTATAGTACAGTTTACAATTATACTATTATACTATACTTATATACTATCATAATACTGTGTAGTAATAACGGTATGTAGTAGATTTATTTATTCAGTTAGGTACTTAAAAAAAAAAAATAAAACCAAAATCAACTTTCTAGCAGTTATATAGAAAATTTAAAGTTATGAATTTAATTTTTTTTAAAGATTTTTGGGTGGTTTGAGGATTAGTGTAATTATTTCTCAGGGTTAGACATTTTATTTCCAACAGTCACTTGTCACTTGATTGAGTCACCAGTGTATCATATTTTACCCGAACTTTACTATCTACTAGGCCTAAAGTCTAAAGTGTTATCTTTTTTGTTAGGCAGTGTCTACATGTCCGGCGACCGGACAAATAGTGCGGGAGATATTCTTCCGGTGGGCTTGTCATGTGACAAGAGGTCTCCGGCAAATAAAAAAAAATAGTCCGCTATCTTGGTTTAAATATCTTATAAAGCTCTACCTAGTAGCCTAAATTTAAAATATGAACCAAACAAAATAAGACCAATACTTGCCAGTTGACTGTCAGCAGATCTGTCAAAAAAGTTTTATTTTAGGCTATCAATATTGTGTGAAAAGTAGGTTACCCCAACAGCACACTACATTGGCTCTATATTGAGATATAGGGTCTATTTCTTTGTGAACTTTCGACCTCCCCACCTTAATTATCTCCCTCATTATCATTTTTATCCTTTCTCTTTCGCTCTCAGTATTTCTTCCTTCTAGTATGCATCGGTGCCTCCCCCCCCACTTATTTCCTGAAATGAAGTTTATACTCGTCCCCCCTCTTCATCTCCGACGTCATTTTTAATGATCGACCATTAGCGGTCGCGTGACAAGACTGTCGGACAGATATCTCGCCCAACTTTGTCTTTATGGCAGTCATGAGACCTGGATAGATACCTCTAATTAATCGTCCAGTTGCTGGACATGTAGACACTTCGTTTTTGTTATTCAATTCATAGTTCTTTAAAAAAGTAAAAGTGCCACCGCTGCCAAATTTAAGTTTAAGTTAAATTATAGCAGGTTTGAGTTTAATAAAATAAGTTTCTTAGTAAGAACTTTGTATTGTGCCTCTATTCTCTATTAATAAACATGAAAGTTAAAGGGTAATCAATTGACTATTTGCTAAATAATCTAATTTTCAGTGAGTTAGCCTAATATAATAGCATAGTAAGTAAAAAAAAAAATTGTTACCTTTCTCACTCAAACACTTTTAAGTCTCTTAGGCTTATGGTTTATTTTAAGAATTTTAGATAAGTCTTCACTGGTCAATAATTCCTAGGCCTAGGGCAATGTATAACCTTGTTAGAGTAATACTGGTTTAAAGTCTCGTTGCAGAAACTTTATGTAGCTAAGTTAGTTTTGTTGAGAAAACTTTGATTGCCGCATTAAAACTACTGTCTACAAATACAGTTTTGGGAATTCAACAAGGTACTTCTTAACCACATTCAAGCTGCAACAGTAGGATAGCAAAATACATTTCTCTTTACAGTGGAACCCAGCTATAACGCGATGATCGGGGTCCATAAAATCGGATCGTGTTAAAAGCGGGGTTGCGTTAATGCGCGGTTTTACAATATTTAACTTTTTTCCGAGAACATATACGTGTATACAGGAACAATGATCAAGTTGGCTTATCAGATGAATATTAACTGGAATGCATTAAGATATATTCAAAATAATCGATGGCTAATATATTTATAGGTTATTACTGTGCATTAAAAATATACATATTACTATTTATAGTTCTACCGGAAGAAAGCCTTGTTTTCGGCATTAATTTTGATACTAGTTTGAACGTGATGCGTTTAGGGGCTCATTTTCTACGATATTTTGAAAAGGGATTTTTTTGCTTTAAACAATGGCTTTCCAAGCAATGGATAAAATTTTCCAAGAACTTAGGCCTGATGGAGAAAATGAATTTCAAATTTCAGGAGCCATGCTACAACCGCGTTCTATCCGAATTCGCGTTCCACTGTACTCAAAACTCTTGATATTATTTCATAAACTTTGCTTCCACTTATCACTTTGCAGAATTATCCTTTTTCTAAAATTGAACGGACACAATAAAATGTATGTATCACATAATCTGATTTTCTCCATCAAAAGAACATCCTAATTTATTTTTGACTTATGACTTTTCAAAATGGTCTCGAAAATACTTGCATCTCATCCTTCCCTCCTAGTTGGCTTGGGATTTAATATATCTTGAGACAGATATTGCTTTCGGATTGGTAATTTTAAATAAAGTAAGTCAGATCCTGTAATAAGATTAATATCATTCCTCTGCAAATTTATTTTTACTGAGTTAAGAAAATATTTCTAAGTAATGTGGTGTGGGATGACTAAGAAAATTCATTGTCTTCAAAATTCGCTCGTATTTGATTCTAGTCGTGTTACAAATTGCAACACTCTCACCCTTGTTTCACTACTTCCTGGTAGGATGAATTGTTGCATGTTTGTGAGTTGCCAGATTTAGTTATTAAAAATGCAGTTGAGTGATATTTCAATCCGTGCAAGAGAAGCATTACAAAAAATACTTGAAAGTCTACGATTCATTTGTCCTTTTATACTTCCAATGGTTTTCAGCTTACAGTGACCCGCTAAAAATATGAATTGTTAATGGATGCTGGTACTCCCATTAGACAGTTAAATCAAAGATTTTTTAAAATCTCGTGTGAGATTATCATTTTCTGGCTGATTTCTTAAGTTTAATTTGATGTTGGTTATCAAAAACAGCAATACATATTTTTTTCATATATAATTCAAATTAATAGCCTATTCCTTACAGAAAGGAAAATCTCCACAAAGGTTTTTAGTGGCCCCCTGGGCAATCCTACTGCCCCCTGGGGGCTGTACCGCTATTTAGGCATGTTATTTATTTTATTTGCATTTTAAATCAGCTTTTATATGAATATTTTTATAATTTTTGTAATGCTCTTTACCTTATATTGCATGCTAAAATCTGATGTTTATTCAACAAACTGGGGATTTTAAAATTACGCTGTTAATTGTTTTGACTGGCAATCACAATTATGTGATTAAAGACAAACAGCAACATAATATTGAATGGTTAGTTGCTCACTTGTTATGAAATTCCAAACTGGCAGTTTTGTACATTACATGACCAACATGAGGTGAGACAGCTATTCAATAATTTTTTAAAAATAGCTATGTAAATAACTCACATTTCCATTAATTTTTAAAATCTATTTTAGATTGGAGAAGTTCCTGTCAAAGCTGGACAAAGTAAGACAAAACGAGTTATTCAAACAAGGAGAGCCGCTTTTGGCGATATAACAAATGTAAGTATTTTAAATTTTCTTTTTGACTGAATTAAATTTTAAGGAATTTATGAGCTACGGAAAACTTAGTAAATCACTACTTTATTTTTATAAGTGGTAAAATCATAAAGTATTTATAAGCAGAGGTGAAAAATGTATTATTCTAAATAAAATATTGTGTATTAAAATATGGGTTCTTATTTATATTATTTATTTTTCTCCAGGCTACTAAAGATAAGACAATTGAGGATGGCAAAAAGAAAATTGCTTTACCCATCAAGCCTATTGCCAAGACCCAAATAACTACCACTAACACAAAGAATACAAGGGCCTCCATCAAAGCAAAAGAAGTGAAGAAAGAGCAAGATTTAAAACGCTCAGTGTCTACCTCATCGGTCAATGTCTCCACTACCTCAGTCCAAGTGTCTTCTTCTCAGGAGTCATCAGCCAGCAGTCAAGTCTTAAAAAATTTGGCAGCCGGGTATGTTGAGATGAAATAATATAGTTATATCTGCCTCTCAAATAAATATACTGAATTAGATTTGTGTGTTCTGAATTAGTTTTTGAGGTTGTCAACATGAACATTTTTTGTAATACTTTTGTAATTTTGTCTTGAAGGGTTCCTGCTGATAGGGTTGAGGAAGACTTTTCTTTTGTTATTGTGGTGAGTACATTTTTCCTCATAGATTCTTCAATACCTAAATACTTAAAAATAAACAGTAAATCTTTCAGTGAAACATAAGTATTCAAAGAAAAAACTGTAAATTAATATTTTTATGAACAGGAAGACACATGTGAGGGTGAAAAATTAGATCTTCAGAAGTCTGGGAGTGAGAAAACAGATTTACAAGAACCTGAGAAAAGTTTGCTTTCAATTGATCAAGAGCTCTACACTGATGTTTTCAATGTTGGCATATACGCGCAGGATATCTTTGAGTATTACAAGCGCAGGGAGGTTAGTTGAAAATAAGAAACAAATCCAACTCTTGTCAAAATGTTAAAACCAAGTCATTCTCTTAAAATTAAAAAGAAAAAGAAACGTATAAATTATTTCATATTTATTTTTGGTGGTTTATTTCTTTTTAGTATCAAATCGGATGTGAAGAATAAAATGTTCATCTTGCTTTTAAAAAAAAAGCTGCCAAATAAAATAAATTTAATTTTCAAAAACGTCAATTTCTTTCGGCCATAGTTATTAAAAGTTAAATGCATTTTTAGAGTAAATGATCAATATGTACTAAAATTGATAAAGGTTGTGTTACCATTGATTAGGAGAGAGTGCATTTAATTCTTGACATTTTCACTAAGTAATGGAAACATGCTTATGGTGACATAAGGCACTTATCCCCTAGTAGTAATCAACCTTCCCCAGAAATATTCATCCCGTTCTAATGCAGAGTAGCAGCATTTCCTCTTTGGTGTAGTGTGCATGCTTTTGTTTTGTTTAATTTGGATTTTATTGCACAATAGATTTAATAAGTTACGTCTGTTTAAAAAAAAATAACAAATACAAAATAATTTTGTCAGTTGTCAGGTTATAAGTTTATAAATGTTGAGATAAAGCATGGCACTATATTTAATTTTCAATCTAACACTCCAGTGCGCCTCTGTCTCAAACTCCCTAAATATTTTCTTAGCATATGCCAGAGGATGCCATCTTACTATTATTGGAAATACTTTACCATCACCTAAGACAGCTCTAAAAAAATATGCTAGGGTGCTTTTCCTAGACTGCTCATCAGTATTTAACACAATCCTAATGGTTAAAAAGATTTCTTTGTTAGGTGTAAATTCAAATATTCAAGTGTGGATACTGAACTTTTTAACAAATAGACCAGAGTATGTCTAGGTGAAGGGGCAAATATCAGAAACTAGAGAAATACATAATTTATTGCCACAAGTTTGCGTTTTCTCCCCGTCCTGTATACAATATATACCAATTACATCCAGAGCCCAAGCAACAATGTTCCAATCCATGAGTTTGCTGATAATGCCCCCATCGTTGGCTTAATATCTGAAGGGTAAATCTTATACCGCAACCTAGTTACCAGCTTTATCGGTGCGATTCAAATTTTCTTCAGTTGAATGACTCAAATTAAAGAAATGGTTGTTGATTTCCAGAGGGGGGATCACCCATTTGCAGATCTCACCAAAAATAAAGTATAGAACAAGTTGAGATATAAGTACTTAGGCGGAACCATTAACAAGTTGACATGTCATGACCATGGTCAAATTTTGTATTAAAAGTCAACCAAAGACTTTTCTATCTTAAAAAAATGTTCAATTTCGGCGTAAACAAACCATTTCTTAACTTATTCAGTATTATCTGGTGGTGTGGGAATACATCATCTTTTATCAAACACCGAATAAACAGACTGATCAAGACGGCTAGTAACATCACACAAACTTAACATCCTTCAATTGAACTATTTGAAATGCTGTTGTAAAACAAACAAAATTCTAGATGATACATCACACCAACTTCATCACAATTCAGATTCCTAAGATCAGCTCCTTCAGGGCTAATTCTTTCTTTTAAAGTTGGGACCGAAAGATATACAAATGTGTTTCACTGTTTGATCCCCTGTCGGTACAAGTAGCCAGTATGCTCCCCTAGTGATTAACAAGTCATTATGGTCACTAATGGATTTCTTTTTTGGCTGATATCTACACTATAGGAATACTTAAAATGTCTTAAATTTAAATTTAAGTTTACATTTTTATTATTGTAAAAGGTCTTGGTTAAAAATGTGTATTTATGTGCTGAAAATATGTACAATGTAATCAATAATCTTACCTTATAATTTATTGAATGGCTTTTTACTGCAAAAAGGGTTGCATTTTGAATTAGAGATTCTCAGTGTGACGTTCATTTATCTCGAGGTTAGGTCCCCTGCTTTATAGCCACAGAACAAAAACTTTTTTCCTTCCAGCTCCTTCAGCAGAGCTGATGTGTTGTAAGAATCAAGAAACAAAGCAGTGACAGTTTCATATTCATGTATTTAATCCTTTGTATGCATGTGGGTTGAAGATGCATATGAAGCAACAAATTATATCCACATAAAAGCTCACTCCTACTCCTACATCCACAGCAAGTCACTCTCTACAAAAACTATAATCACACACTCCTAGTGAAATTGAACTAAATCCTCTTCCATCCACAGCAAATGTCACGCTGTACAAAAAACTAAAATCACACTCCATCAACAGCACTCATCACTGTCTACTCCACACTAATTTCATTTCACACAGCCTTTTTTCTTACATGTTTTTTTTTTTTGACACACCGCCACGGTAATACTGGGCTGAGACAAATCATGGGATTCACTATGGTCAAAACTAAAGGAAAAAACCCATTATCGCTCACTCAATATCATCAAAACAGACAACAGAATCATGCGACCTGACTGACACTCCATGTTTGTTTACATATCTTCCTGGCACCACCACTGTTTTTCACCATGTTGGCTGACGCTTTCCAAGTGGGAGACATTGGGATTAGCCTCGTATACCGAATTGATGGTAAACTATTCAACCACAGGAGGCTACATGCTAAATCCAAGGTCCTGATAGACATAAGGCTTTTTCTGTATGCCGGAGCAGAAGTAGATATGCATCACTGTTTGTAAAAATGTGGGTCTCACAATCGAGATGAAAGAGGCTGGCGCCACATCTCCTTCAGAACCTTACTTTGAGGCTAACATTTGAGTCAGTGATGAAAAGCTTAAAGGGATTTATAGCTTCTGATACCTTGGCAGCACACTTTCCCAAAGTGAAACATTGATGATGAGGTGGACCTTTGAAATGCAAGAGCCAGTGTAACCTACGACCAAATATCTATGTATGGACCAGGCGAGGCATCAACACCCAAACCAAAGATAATTTCACAAGGCTGCTGTGTTCTGTGTTACCTACATTTCTCTATGCTCTTGAAATATGTTCTATCTGTGGCATGCAAGAAAGCTGAACCATTTTCACAAGCCTTAGAAAAATCTTTAACATCAACACCAAGGGGCAGTACGAGGTCCAAAACATTGAGTTGCCCACACACGCAGGTCTCCCTGGTATCAATACCATTTAATTGTAGGTCAGAGGACTGCTTGCCCAAGAGTATATTTTATGGCAGACTGTACACTGCTGGTGGAATTAATATTTCAAAGTCACCCTGAAAGCCAGCTTCATTGTAAGCTTTCTGCATAAACCCAGACATATGGGGAAAATGGGCAAAAGATTGTGCCTTGTAGTGCTCCTCTGTACACAAAGGCTCTATGGAGCACAATGCTTAACAGAACAGCTGCTGCAGAGCACAAAACACCCACAAACAAAATCAGCCCTAGAACTAATCAGATAAAGTGGTCCTCATCTCAACAGACAAACCTACCATTGAGACTTTAATGTGCAAAGCTATTTCAATGCCATTTTTTTTTCCAACTGTCCAAAGTGTTTTTATTCATCAATAGCCCTTATAATTAGAGTTTAAATTGTGTTTATACATTGCCTAACTGCGATGCTGTAATGAAATGAGACTAAAGTGACATTGGACCTCTAAAAGTGAAATGCTTGTATTATTTTTTTCTGAAACATTTGATTAATCTTTCACTGTAAAAAGACTTTCTGACCTTTGACTTAATTTGCATGGTCTTAATAAAGGGAGAAGAGGGTATGTAGTGAACATACATATCCTGCAGTTTGAATAGATGTGTTGACTCTAACTGAAACTTTATGACTCATGCCAGGTCTTGAAAATCACTTCAAGTGTGATCCTGAAATGCATTTGAATGTTCGTGTTTCCATTTCTCCTCCTTGTAGAAAATGTTCACTATTCCACCATACCTGGGATCTAAACACTGCCAGATTTCTCCATCCATGAGGGCTATCTTAGTTGACTGGATGGTAGAAATACAGGAAAATTTTGAGCTCAATCACGAGACACTGTACCTAGGAGTAAAGCTCACCGATATCTATTTGTCAAGAGTCAAGGTGGACAAAGAGATGTTGCAGCTAGTTGGTGCTGCTGCTCTTTTCATTTCTTCCAAGTTTGATGTAAGTGCCCTGAGTTATTATACTTCTGGTCTAAAAATTTATGTAAATATTGCACAATTTTATTTTGAGCACAATCACAAAATTGTCTTTTGTAAAGGGAGAAATTAAAACTGAAAATACATTTTGTCCATAGCCAGCTTAAACAAGTAAATGAAATAACAAAAATTTTTCATCTTTGCAATAGCATTGTAAATTAGTTTGTAATGTCTTATAATACCTTTGATATTGTCAAAATTAACATTTTAAAAATTATTTGAATTACTGTAATGAAAATCTCACCACAAATTACAGGAAAGATTTCCACCTATGATAGAAGACATTATCTACATTTGTGACAATGCATTTGGTCGAGATGAATTTATTCAAATGGAGATGGAGCTCCTGAGGAAAGTGGATTTTGACTTGGGTATTCCAATTTCATACAGATTTCTGCGACGCTATGCTAAAGTAAGTTGAGTGTGTTAACCTCTTAACTTTCTTTGTCGAAATTCAGTGCCGTAGCTAGAGTGTTGGGTACCCGGGGACTAGATTCATTTTACACCCCCTACAACTCTGAAACCCATTTTTTTTTCCATCTATAAAATCCATCAAAGCCCATTTTGACACCCGGACCCATGGATGTCTGGGCCTCCCCACATACACACTTTGCTAAGCTATTGTTGAAATAGTGTTACCCTAAAACGATTGAAGGAATTTGATTTCCGAGTTGTACTCTCATCTCTGATCCTGAAAATATTTATTCCGGTATGCAATGATTAAATACAGGGCATCCGAAGGATTGAATTTGACCTTTTTTTTTTTTTTTTTTTTTTTGGGTTCCTAATTTTTAAATTTTTTGTTTTTAAAAAAAAATTTTACAATGATTGATTTTATATCTTACCGTCTATACAAATTGAAACTCATTGTAATTCTTAATAGTCAATGGATAGAATCGGCAGTTCAATTTATGCATATTCTTTTTTAAGATCCCTTAGTTTTTTTTTTCAATTTTGCCATTTCAGACCTGGTTACTTTAACAATTTGAGAAATCTTTTACGATTGTTTACCGAGACCTGTTAGAACTATGCTTTTAAAAGACCGGATTGAAAATAAATATTCCTGGAGTTTTCCGATATTAAAAAATACAATTTAGTTTGTTGGTTTTAGTTTTAGCTCTTTTCTTCTTCCGGTGGTAAATGGACCCAGAAAAATGATTGTTGGGCACCATACATAATTATATTACACAATGAGAGGGGAAAAGATGGGGAGGGTGATGTGTGCATGGGAGGGGTTGGGGGCAGTATCTAAATATTTTTAAAGATTATAAATGAACTATTCAAATACAGCATATCGTAGTCACCCTAGTGACACATGTAGTGAACATTTGCTTTTGTGACTGTATGACATCTTGAGACATAATTATTTCTTTCTTGGGTTGTACCGCAGCTATTGTGTTAAGGACCGCAGTATGGTTAAAAAGCTCCTCCCTTCTCCCAATATAATTTGTGTTAGTAATTAGACTATATGTTAATGGAAAATATAATCAATATTTTATACTTAATGTAAAAGTGGCCGACCAGCGGCTTGCCAATGGGAATATTGCTGTCATTCAGATGTATCACACAAAAACTTTTTTTTTTATCAATGTGTAATTATTTTCAATTTTGGCATAAAGGCACATTTGATTTGAAATGACATGGATTTTTGTGATGGTCTGCGACATTCTGGTTTACTTGTCCAAAAATGCTCCCCCTCCAAATAGAGAGAAAAGTGCTAGCCGGGGCAAGCCTACGCCACTGTATACTTTGTACTGTTTATTTACTATTACCATTATCATAGGGTAGTTCCCAATTTTGAAATTAATCACTATTCTGAAATGATATAGTACTATTTTTGGAGGTTTGCATTTGAATCTATTTAATCTTTTTACACTTTAAACAAAAATTAGCCCCTATTGACAGATTAAAACTTCACTAATTATATTCTTCTTTCCATTTAAATATATATTATATCTTAGTCATGCTATTGTCAGAAAATCTTAATTTTTTAATTTACAGAATCTTGAGTCACAATACAAACGTTTAAAGAAATGATTTACTATAATTACCATTATTCATTTCAACAGCTCTTCTAACCTGTAATTTTCAATAATTTCAAAGATTGCACGGATGTCTATTGTAACATTGACACTTGCACGATACATTTTGGAGATGTCACTGATGGACTGTCAATTTATGGTTGAGAGGGATTCGAAGATGGCAGCTGCTACTCTATTTATTGCACAGAAAATGAAGAATGAGGGTTCATGGGTAACTGCTTGTTTATTTTTAAAGGGGGTTTATGAAGTTAAAGTGATTTTATTGTCATTGTTTTAATACATTGGTTAAAGAAACTAAGGAGTGACAGATGATTCCTTTGCAAATAGAGTGAAATCAATTTCTCATCAACACATGTATAGATTTGGAGATATTTAAAATATTCTTAAATATTCTATTACAGGATGGTGAGATTGTGAAAGGCAGTGGGTATGAACTAAAAGACTTCAAACATCTCATTGCACCTCTGAATAAAATGCTTCTCTCCTTGCCGACACTTCCATCATCACTCTCAACAGTGCGAGGGAAATACTCTCATATGTAAGTGCATATCATCATTGTGGTTAATATTTTATTTTTATTTTTCATAAATCTTCAAACAGTTTTCCCCAAGTCAACTATTTGATTGAGTAAATCCTGCCTTAAAATTATGTGTGCACACAACTGGACCTGTATATTCTATAATGCCAAGTTAAATGATTTACATTATTCAAGATCAAAGCATATATAAGTCCAAGAAATAAAGGCAACAAATTTTATCAGAATACCTGAATGGGATGTAACATACCTGAATGGGATGTAACCTTGGCTGCTTTAGTTAAAATTTCAAATACATACAATCTTCTAACATTTATTTATTATCTGGATGTTTGCACAAGCAAAATTAATAGTAACATTTGAGTAGTTATTTTGAAAGGTCATTATTCATATTGTTTTTTTTTCTTCTTTTTTTTGATCCAGCGTCTTTCATGAAGTGGCAAAAATTCCTCCTTTACCAACTGAAGAGCTGTTGAAATGAATAATGGTAATTATAGTAAATAATTTCTTTAATCCTTTTAAATTTGTGCTAGTAGTGAGTTAGCCCATTTGCCAGTGTCAGCACTATTTCAACACATTAAATATATAAATTCTTATATATATATTATATACAACTGGACTGCAGCACCTAACAGGAATTTTCAGACACTCGTTGACAACTTTAACTTCACCGTACCTGTATGGCAACAGGGTATGACAGCCCTAATCCTTAAATTAGTTGCTGCATTTGTCAGAGGGTCCCTACTAATCCCTTTTTTTCCCCATTTTATTGCATATTTCTAAATGATAAATCTTAATGTTACTAATTTTTAGAGAATTGCTCAATATGTCTAAAAGAGAGTGGAATCAAGAAATTTTTGGTTATATTTTACGGTACTGAATATTTCTCATTCCTTCATTCTGCATTTTTCAGATATTTGTTTGATGAATGGAGCAAATGAGGATGATGTCAGGCCGGTTGGAAACTTGTGACAGTGGTACATAAGCTGCAGATTGATGAATACATGTATATGAGTAGTTTTTAGCATTTTAAACTTTGTAAAGTATAAGCAACTTTATTGGAGTTTTAAGTGTCTTGTACACCAATCCAGGATTTTATAAAATTCTTATAATTATTTTGGTCCAATTTTTAGGTACTAAATTTTAACATTGATTTGATAAAAATTTGATCATAAGCTTTGTTTTAGCTTGATAAGATTGCATAGAACTAAACCCTCTTGATTAGATTGAAGTGTTTCCTTTTAATCTGGTGGTTGCTTTGTAAAGATTTATTGTAGAGTACATCTTTTTAATTTTAGAGTTAACTTGGGTTAGCTTTCAAAATAATCTCAAAATTTACAGTTTGATAGTGAGTGGTAATTCTTAATAGCTGCTTACTTTTAAAGGGTGAAATAACTGAAGAAAAATATGAACATCTCAACCATACCTGTGTTTATGGTGTACTTTTGGCAAAGAGATCAAGTAGACATACATTTCATAATCAAAAACAAAATTATAGAAACCTAGTAAGAGTTGAGATGCACACATTTCATGTTTATATTATGCTAGCTATTATAAATTGTATTGTAGCTGTAATATTTATAATCTAAAGATCTTTTACTTGTACATAATTTGTAAAAATGATATGATAAAACAACCAACACCCAGCTCTATGATATGTAATTATACTCACATTCAGGCTGAATACAGTTTTAAATGTCATTTATTTTATATGTGGTTTCACTTACCTTCTGAGACATGCCCACTTGTATGAGAGAATCTATGCTTTCTTATCCAGTTTATGTGACTCCAAAGTGTTTACTGAAGTATACTTGTTGTGTACTTGTTTTTACCTATTCATGTTCTTTTATAGAAGGCTTTACCAATAAAGTTAATGTTTGCTGAATAAATATTCTTTTTGTTACATGTTATTTCTGCTAATAGCATGGTTACTTTTTATCCGTCAACTTCATTTGGAGTGTATAGTATATATTTATTACCTTTTTTATCCCTCAGAATCGATCATAAACCTTAGACCTGGAAATTCAGAGATTTATTGCATACATAATCCAGTAGGAATGTTTATGTTGACTTGTACTATTTAAAACACATTCACTTTTCATTAAGAACTGAATTTATGGGGTGAGCAGGGGCTTTTAATCAACCCTTTTTTGGTAGTCTTTACCAGTTGTACAGTACTAAGCCCTAATAAAAATGACATTTTTAAGAATTGGAAAAAATATGCAGTGTAAAAAATTATCTATGCTGAAATGTGCATGGAGGAACATTCACTTTTTTTCTTAAATGATACAAATTTTACCTTAAGTATAAGTAAATGGGAAAAATAATTAGTCCTGTCCATCCCTGTGGCACTGCCTCACCCAGACCTGATGTCCTTTTTTTGCTCTTTGGATTCCCCAGCTGCTGTAGATCTTTTTCCACATCATCCATCTAAGCCTAGGTCAGACTTTTGAGCTTTTTATAGGAGACAATGACACCCGAAGTGTGTTGCTTATGTCCAGTTTATTCCGTTTGGTTTTGGATGCTTTCACTGCAGAAAACCCGCTTCACAGATAGGGTGTCGGAAAGGGCAATAGGGATTTAATTGCTGTGGTGGGAATCTCATGGTACTCTGCCGTGACTTTAAAACACCTGCAGAGTTGTCTCGAACGTAGTTATAAGGCCGCCGTCACTTGCAATCTCTAGCATCTTGCGCAGACATGCTAGATCCGCCTGATTTGTAGACAAATGGGTCGCGGATCCATTCCTTACCAGTTCGTGGGTCTTTAGGGTTGGAAAGTAGCGCTCGAACTCTTTAAAGAGAATGAATACTCAGGCTCAAACTCGCCTAAAATTCCCGGTAATGTTTGAAACATGTCCAAAATACCTCTGTTCATGCGCTGTCCTGAATCCAGTTTGGCTTTAAATGCAGCTACTTTGCCAACTTGAAAACGGTTGTCATTTACCCCTGAAGGGACAGATTGAGTTCCTCGAGCAAGCTGAATATGTCACACAGGTCACAGCCAGTTTTGCGACCCCATACCTTGTCACTGAAATGTGCTGCCAGCTGGACTTTTTTTTTCGGAGAGAAATATTTGCAATGGCTCTCGTAATTCAAATACCGGTACTCTGTTTAGCGATTTTCCTCTGGATAACCATCTTATTTCTGTGTACTCAAGATAAGGCATCTGTGCTCTGCGTCCACCTCCTCACAAAGCTGCTGAAACAGGAGCGAGTTAAGGGCGTGTACTTTGATATGGTTAATAACTTTACCGACATCAATCAATATGATGTTTAATTCCGGTGACATTTTTTGGCTTGTCAGCATTACTCTGAATGATGCAATGCGTAGATTCTCTCGGGTGCAACCTCCTTAATCCGAGCAGTTATACCAGTCGTCCAGTTGTGGCAGCAGCTCCGTCTGTGCATATGCTGACACAAAAGGACCATTTTAGGTGTCCCGATATAAAACCAATTGAATTGAACAGTTCTGCTGTTGTGGTGTTGGCAAAGATAGCACATCTTCCTGATAAAGAACGCGCACATAAAAAGGTAGTATTGCCTTGTCATATCTGTAGATTCGTCAACCTGGAGTGCGTACCACGGTGATGTATTAATCATCTCCTATAATTGTGTCTCAATAACTTTGGCTATTTCCACAATAGGCCTAGTCGCAGTGCTAGCCGACAAAGGCACATGTGCGATCTTTTTTAACAGCAGCCTCTCCTAGAAGTTTATGGCAAATGTCATTAGTGTAGGGCAAGATCAATTCTTCAAAGATAGTGAATGGCTTTTTCGCCTTGGCAATAGTTAGCCACCAAAATTGATGCTCAATGCATTCTCCTTTATTGATGTGGTGGCCCTCAGAAATTTCTTATGTCCTTTTTGTTCCAGTTATTTTCTTTCAAATACTCCAGGGGCTTTTAATCCAGGGTGCTTGGCGTTCAAGTGGCGAAGCAGTTTTGAAGGTTTCATTGCCTCATTAGAGTCTGTCGCCGCAAACTATGCAGAGCTGGGTTGGTGTTTGGGCATCACCTGTCCCGATAAATCCATATTTCAAGTATGACTCATGGTATTGTCTGTTAAAAGTTTTATGTTTCTTTGATGTTGAAGACTCATCTTCTTCTTTCTCTTCACTGGGTCTTTTCTTATTCCCAAGGAAACTTTCAAACGTCCGTTTAATACTCATTTTTGATAATTTGTGGGTTAAATTTGAGCGCTTAAGTGACCATGATGTAGCCAGGAAAATAAAACTCAAGTAAATGTGGACGAAAAAAGCGCAAAAATAAAACACTATTTCACGTACACCAAGCACTGTAAACATGAGAAAGTACCGGTGAACAGAGAAGAGCATCACACATCTCTCCACCAAAGCTACAACGCTTGCAGCCGCTCATGGTTAACCTCTCGTCCATGGAAAGTTGCAAAAGCCAGAGAGACACGACAGTAAATAAAATGGAAATAATTTAATGTTTCTTGGGGGCGCAGTACCATTTGATCCACTGACCGGTACCGGTCTGCGGCCCGGAGGTTGGGGACCACTTCTTTAAAGTACTTAAGTCACAAGATACACATTTTGAGATAAATTCAAATATTCTTTTCATCTATAAAATGTGATCATTTTCATGTTTAATTTAGGGACTTCAGCACATTCTAATTTTCAAAATTTTGCAGTATACTTAAACTGGATAAGAAAAGGTCACAGTTTAGATTGATTTTGACAAATATGGGACTAAAGTACTTTTAGCTCTAGGGGGCTTCAATTATTATAAAAGGAAAGGATACAACTCTCACTACTTAACATTCAATTAGAGTTTATGCCATGGTTTCCCAACCTTTTGTATATTCTGCACCTTGCAAACTAAGTCTTGCTCTCTAAAAAGTAATGATCCATTTCAAAATATATATTTTTAACTTTTCCTCAAGCCCACTGAAAACCAATGCAGAAATATTAGTTCTTTAGGACATTGGGAAGTTGATCTTGAAAGAAGTTACCTAATTAAGTTAAATAAAGCTTTTAAATAGGGTATCAGGAACAAAATCTTCAATAGGTAACCACTTTTCCATGGAACAGGCTTAATTACATTGGTACCATATGCCCATTTAACTTTCAGACAGGAAACCTGGAGTGTGTTACACTAATCAAACTGAGTTATGAAACAGAATAATTTTCTACAGGAGCAATGTATAGTGTAACATTACTGTGCTTGTACAATTTCTTAATATAACTTTAGGGGCTAACAATTATCTCCACTCCAGTCACTGGGGTAGGCAGAAGCAGTTTTTGTTATCAACATATTGTAGAGAGTTCAGTCTCAGTCCAGGTGGACAGGGTGAGGGGCAAAACCCACGGCAGAGTTCAGTCCAGGTGTTTGGCGGGTAGCAGATAAATTAAGACGTGGAACACAATGGATGTCAACGGAGCGGGGTAAACCCACAGTCGAAGACTGACCAAATAAATTAAGGCGAGGAATGCAGCGGGCAGGGATGAGGGGCAAAACCCACGGCAGAGTTCAGTCCAGGTGTTTGGCGCGTAGCAGATAAATCAAGACTTAAGAAGGTAGGGGGAGTAATCTCTAGCGACGCCTTGGTTGGCTGGTGGACCTATAAGAGGGGACGGTTAGATTGGAGAGGGAT